GGGGTGCCATCACCATGCGGAGTCGTCGTCGTACCTGCCGGGAAGAACTGGTGTGAGAAAAGAGGGAACGAGACCCCCAAATCCCCCTGGGACCCCAAACAACCCCCGGATCCCCACCCCGGGGTGTGGGGGACGGTGCAGCCCCTTGTCCCTGTGCGCGAGTCGGGGGGGACAGGGACGGGGAGACTCACCTTGACCTGTCACTGCCGGCCCCCAGCAGCAGTTCCGTCACCGCGGCGTCGGGGCTGGCGCGTTTGCCGTACCTGCGGGACACGGGGCACGCGCGTGTGCAACGGGAACCCCACGGGGGCGTGCGCGAGTGTGCAAAGGAGGAACCGCCGGAGCCCCCGGGAGTGCACAAGGACGGGCACGGGCGTGAAAATGGAGACTCGCGCGTGCAGAGGGGCTCGCACGAGCACCTCGGGGTTCGCCCACGCGCGTTCACAGTCACTCGCGCTCACCTCTGCCGCGTGACCAGGTTGATGTAGTGGCGAAGGGCCGAGAAGTACCGGGCCATCTCCTCTGGGGACGCGTCGTCCCCGGGGCTCTCGGGCTTGGCGGGGTACGCGGCCGCCAGCGCGGCCAAGCACAGCAGGGCACAGAGCGACAGGGCCACCAATGCGTGCCACGGCCGCGGGGATAGCACCATCTGTGGGGATACGGGAGCAAGGGGCGGCTGCGGCTTCGTGTGGGTCACCTCCATCGCCCCCGCATATCCCTATCACCCTGGGGTACCCCTGTCACCCTGGGGTACCCCTGTCACCGCCAGGTATCCTCTATAGGTCACCTCCATCACCCTCAGCTATCCCCATCATCCTTGGGTACCCCCAACCCTGCTCTGTCCCCCACCAAACCCCCATTCCCCTGAGATACCTCACCCCCAAGGACCCCAACCCCTGTGGGAATGTCACACCCCCAGGACGCCCCCCTGTCCCCCAAAAGGGATGTATCCCTCCACCACCTGGGACCCCAGCCCCACTCAAGAGACTGCTTCCCTCCAGGGACCCTCCCATGTCCCAGAGACCTCCACAGTGTCCCAAAGGGGCTGTCCCACCCAAAAGGACCCCAGAGGCTCACGTCCACCCCAAGGGACACCTCCCCACAAGGGATGCCACATGTCCCCAAGGGAGGGGGGTGATTCTCCCTCCCTGGGATCCCGACCTCCCCTCAGGGACCCCCCAGGACCTCAGTCCCATCCCCGCACTCACGATGGCAGAGGCAGAGGTGACAGGCAGGGCCTGGCAGTGGGGTGACAGTGCCAGGGACACGGCAGCTCCCAGACCCGGCTGGGGTTTTATAGCCTCGGAGGGGGCTCCTGGCTCCTCCCTCATGCGTGACCAACCCACTGGCACGCAGGACCCCAGCGACCCCCCCCCGCTACCACCCCCGACCAGCACCTTGTCACCATCCCTTGGCAGAGCACCTCAGCCTGGGACCCCGAGGGGCTGGAGAGGACAGAGCATGGGGGGCATTGATGGGACACAGGGATATGGGGACATGGGGACACGAGTGCAGCCAGAGGACACAGAAGTGGCAATGGCAGATGGGCACAGGACATGGACACAGATGTGACATGTCACCAGGGCACATGAACATGGCACACAGGTACAGGTGTGACATGTAGCCGGGGCACAAGGACACGGGACACAGACACAGATGTGACACACAACCATGGTGCGTGGACACAGGTGTGACAGGCAGCCATGGCACACAGGCACACATGTCACATGTCACATGGCACAGATGTGACATACAACTTTGGCACATGGGCATGGGACACAGACATGGATGTGACATAGCCAGGGCTCTTGAATACATCATAAGGACACAGAAGTGACAGGCGGCCATGGCACAAGGACACGGGACATGGACACAGATGTGACACAACCATGGCATAGGACATGAACACAGAGGTGACATGCAAGCATGGCACATGAACACAGACACGACAGGCAGGCCTGGCACATGAACATGGCACACGGACATAGATGTGACGTACAGCTACGGCAACTGGGCACAAAAGTGACACAGCCATGGCACAGGGACACATATGTCACACACAGCCACGACACACGCCTGTCCCCAAGACAGCCTCAGGATGTGACAGTGTGACACAGGAACAGCCACACCCAGGAACACAAACACGGTACAGCCGCGACATAGCACATGGGACACCACCCATGGCCCTGGCAAAAGCTGCCCACGGGGGACAGCGCAGGGGACAGTCCCAGCCCGAAGCCGCGGCTGCCTCAGTTTCCCCAGACAGGGCACGAAGTCCCTGTCACCACAGCCCCCGTCACCACAGCCGCTGTCACCGCAGCCCCCGCCACCGCCATCGATCGCTGTCACCGCCCCCAGGACGGATGAGGTGCCCTTTCCAGCCGCCAGCACCGGGAACACTAATCCGGTATGGATTTGCCATTAAGGAGCAATCACCGGCTCCTGGGGAAACTGAGGCACGTAAAGGACCCGGCGGGGAGGTGCCCACCGGGCAGGGACCACCAAAGCCACCCTGTGGGTGCTGGGATGGGGAGAGGTGGCAGAAGGGGGTCCCCAAAAACGTCGGGATGGTCCCAGCCAGATGCAGCCGCATCTCCGGCCGGTGGGATGGAAGGGACACGGATCGTCTCCGCAGGGGATACTGCGGGGTGACACCGGCCCAGATAGAGGGGACACGGCTTGCATGGACCACGGCTCGGTGGTGCGCCACCGCTCCGACTGGAGGTGACAAAGCTCCTGGGGACCCCGCGGGGTGCCACTGTTCCGAATGGTGGGGACATGGTTAAGCGAGGACCCTGCGGGGTGCCACCAGCCCGGCTGGAGGGGACATGGCACACGGGACCCCGCGGGGTGCCAGTCCCGGCCGGAAGGGACACGCTCCCCACTCCTGCCCCGGCCGCCACCCCGGCCAGCGGCGGCAGGGACACAGCTGGTGGCAGTCCACCGCGGGGGTCCCAGGCCCGCGGGGGTCCCCAGCCCCGGGGGGGGGTCACCCCCGTGGCGTGGCCGCGGTGTGACACGCGCCGGTGTGCGGGTACACGGGCGGGGGGTCCACGCTGCCCCGGGCGGGCGGTGCCGGGCTCACGGCAGCCTGGGGTGAGGGGGGGAACTGAGCCCCCCCAGCCCCCGCAGCCCCCCCAGGCCGGCACCTTTCACGTCCTCGCGGTCCATGCGGGGCTTATCGGATTGAGAGGGCTCCGGACCCCCCGCAGCGTCCTGACACGTGTGCAGGGAAACTGAGGCAGCGGGGCTGGATCTGCCCAGCAGACGAGAGCCCCGAGGGGGGGGTCTCAGCCATCCTGGCGTTCGGGGGGGACACACACCACCCCCACAGCCCCACCGACCCCCACCACAGCGGCAGTCACCGCGTTGTGTCACAGACGTCCCCGAGCCGCGGCCGGGGGAGATATCAGGGTGCGGGTGGCCCCCAGCCCCCCGGGGGGGGGGAGTCGGGAAGGGACACGAGGACTTTCTGCCCCATTTATTCCGAGTGACGGTAAACAGCCATTTTCCAAAGGTCAGAGGATGGCTCTGCCAGCGGGAGGGGGTGGACACAGAGGTGGAGGGGCTCCCTCAGCAGAGGTGGGACCCCGAAGGGGACAGGGTAGGGGGGCCCCCTATCTCTCCACTGGGCATTGAGGAGGATGAGGAGGGTCTGGGGGTGAAGGTGCGTGGCTGTAGCCCCGGGGGGGTTGGTCCTGGGAGGGTGACGAGCCCCGGTGCTCCCCCACCCCGAGCAAACAGGGCTCTGCCGCTTCCCCGCGCTTTATGGCCCCGGTTCCGCCGGAGGTGCATTAGGGGCCCCCCGGGCTCCCCCCACCCCGGAGGAAGCCCCTTATCAGCCCTGTTTGCTTTTCCGGAGGGGGGAGGGGGGGACGGACACCTGCCGAGCCCGGGAAGGGGACATAGACCTGCCCAGCCAGGTGACAGGATGGGGGCAGCGAGGACACAGTCTGTGGGGACCCTGGGGGGCTGCCAACCGGGACCCCCCACCCCGTGCCAGAACACTCATAACCCACCAGTTGAGCAACCCAGGTGGGCATGGGCAGGGCACCCGGCCTGGGATCCCCCTCAACCCCCTGCCCCAGTTTCCCTGCTGAAGGGAGGGGAACACCCAGTATCACCCACACTGGCTCACCCCCGAGCCCCCCAAGTAGCTTCTCTCCCCTCTGAGCCCCCCAAAGCAGCTCCCCCTTCAAACCCCCAAAACGTCTTTTGCCACAGCAGCTCCCCCCAAAAGTAGCTCCACTCCAAACCCCCAGAGCACCTTTCCTGAAGACCCCAAAAAACAGCTTCCCTGACGCAGCCCCTCCTCCAAGCCCCCAAAGTGGCTCCCCTAAAGCAGCTCCCCCAACTCCAAGGCCCCCAAAAGCATCTCCCCATATTGCAGTTCCCCCCAAAGCCCCCCAAAAGCAGCTCCCCTCAAAGCAGTTCGCCCCAAACCTCCCAAAAGTGGATTCCCCTGAATCAGCTCCCCAATGCAAGCCCCTCAAAAGCATCTCCACCAAACCTCCCAAAAGTGGATTCCCCTGAATCAGCTCCCCCCTGCAAGCCCCTCAAAAGCATCTTCCCCAAACCTCCAAAAGTGGTTCCCCCCGAAGCAGTTTCCCCCAAAAGCAGCTCCCTCCAAATCAGTTCCCTACAAGCCCTCCAAAAGCATCCTCCCCAAAAGCAGCTCCCCTTCCAAGCCCCCCCCAAACAGTTTTTCCTTCAAACCCCCCAAAGCTGCAGCCCCCCACCCTCTGTCACACAACAGCCAAGCTCCCCTGGGGAAATGACATAAAAGACTTCTCCTTTCATCAGTAAAAATACACTTTTTTGGGGGGGGGCAGTGACACCCCTCAGTGGGGAGAGGGGCTGCGGCCACACAGTGGCTGGCACCCCCCAGGCAGGACCCCCCCACGCCCCCTCAGGAGCCCTGACCTCTGCCAAAATTATCAAATACAGTATTTACAAACAAAGAAACAAACAAACAAAAAACCTAATGAATAAATAGCGGCAATCCTTAAAAAAAAACCACACCGCTCCTTTCCCTCCCCTTCCCCGCAGTTTTCCCGCTCATCCATCGGTGGCCAGGATCACCACAGCCCCGAAAATGCCGACATTCTGGCCGATGAGCTTCATCTGGTTCCAGAACTCGACGCGGCGGGCGGCATGCCAGTAGCCCAGGTTGCCATCGATGAGCAGGATGGCGAGGGGCAGCAGCACTGCCAGCACCTGGGCAGCCGCCCGCACGTAGTATCCTGACAGGAATGCCAGGGCCAGCAGCCCGTAGAGCAGGAAGAGCAGCTGCAGGGCCAGCTCCCCTCCCAGCAGGTGGTCCAGGTAGGCCAGGCGGTCCTCAGTGCTGTGCTGCAGGGAGTAGGCCTGGGGGGGCAAAGGGGGGAGTGGGGTGGCACTGGCGACACTCACAGTGAGGGGTGTACCCCAGGGCTAGTGGGGGGTGGCACTGGTGCCAATGGTGGCACTGGAAATGCTTGTCCAACGTTTCTCCCTCAGGGACAATGGGGGAACTGGAGTGCAGTGACACTGGTGCCAGTGGTGGCACTGGTAGCGCTGACTGGAGACTTCTCCCCCAGGGACAATGGGAGAAGTGGAGTGTGGTAGCACTGGTGCCAATGGTGGCACTGGTAGCGCTCACCCAAGGCTTCTCCCCCAGGGACAATGGGAGAACTGGAGTGTGGTGGCACTGGTGCCAGTGGTGGCACCCACCTGAGTTTCTCCCAGGGACAACGTGGGGCTGAGGTGTGGGGCACTGGTACTACTGGTAACACCCACCTGAGCTTCTCTCAGGGACAATTTGGGGCTGGGGCGTGGTGGCACTGGAAACACCCACCCCAGGAGGTTTCCCCCGAGGAAATTGTGGCTCCATCCCCCAAGCAGCAGCAGGGCAGGGATGTGTCCCCCGTACATGGCAGACGAGGTAGATGCCCAGGAACACCTGTGCCCGTACCTGGCAGATGAGGTAGATGCCCAGGAACACTTGGCCTGTGGACTGCAGGGAGCGGCTCCGTGGTTTCTGCCGGTACAGCTCCCCGGCGCCGCTGGCCAGGATGAGGAACCCACCGATGATGGCGATGGTCCGGGAGTACATCCGCACCTGGGGGGGGTCACTGTCACCCCTAGCCCCGGGATCTGGGGGTCTGTCACGGCCCAGGGAGGGGCTCTCACCTTCAGCCAGTCGCCATAGTGCACGTGCCCCCCAATGTGGGCGGCGTAGGTGGCCACAGCGAGCTGCAGGGCGGCCCCCAGGGCGAACCAGCGCCGCTTCACCCCGAAGGACATGAAGCTGGCACAGAGCACAGCCACCCCCATGTCCACGTACAGGTAGGGCACTGGGATGTCCGGCTTCCTGTGGGCATGGCAGCTCCAGGGTGTGCCCAGTGCTCACCCAGGTTCAACCCAGACCTCTAAACCCTCCCCCGAGGTCGTAATTCTGATAGAGCCCTTCCCCAGCCCCCCAGACTCACCCCAGCCCCCCAAACCCCTCCCCTAGGTCATAATTCTGCCAAAACCCTTCCCCAGCCCCCCAAAACTCTCCCTCACCCCCCAACTCTGCCAGAACCCTCCCCTGGGTCTACAGAGCCCCATATCAGCCCCAAGCCCCCTCCAGGCCCCTCAGCCCCACACCAGTCTCAGATCCCCCGGGCTCTCCTCCAGACCCTCATGGCCCCACACCCCACAGCCACCCCCAGCCCGTCACAGTCCCCCATCAGCCCCAAACCCCACAACCAGCCCCGGACCCTCCCAGCCCCACACCAGCCCCAGAATCACCCCCAGGCCCTCACAGCACTGGGACCCCCCAACCACCCCCAGCCCTGCAACCACTCCCAGACCACCACTGTCCCCCATCAGCCCCAACCCCATAACCACCCCTGGATCCCCACAGCCCCACGTCCCCCACAACCACTCCCAGACCACACAACCACCCTCAGACGCTCCCAGCCCCACAACCACCCCCAGACCCCGCAGCCCCCTCAGGTTTATCCCCTCCCCGTCTCCCCACTCCGCCCCGCACCGGCGCAGGTCGGCGCGCTCCGCGCAGAGCAGGAGGCCGCTGAAGCAGTGCCAGAAGGGGAAGCGGGTGAGTAGGACGCCGCCGCCCGCCGTGAGCAGCCGCAGCGCCCGGCGCCGCCACCCGCGGCCCGCCGCCATCACGGGCCCGTCCCGCCGGAAGTGCCGCACCGGAAGTACCGCCCTAAGCCCTAACCCTGCCCCAAGCTCCACCTCCTTCATGGAAGCCCCACCCCCTTTCCTAAGCCCTGCCCCATCAATGACTTATTTCCTCTGAAGCCACGCCCCTTGTGCCTAAGCCACACCCCTCCATTGCAATTGATCCCCCTCCAAGCCCCGCCCCCTCCATTGAGCCCCAACAGACGCCGGTGATGGTTAAAAAAATTTCGGGTTTTTATTGTTTTTTTTTGCTAAACAAGACTAAAAAATTTTCCTTTTTTTTCTTTTTTTTTTTAATATTTTTTTTTAATCTTTAACTCTCCTAAAGGCAGGGCTTGAATTGTTTTTTGAGTTTGATCCATTTGTTTTTTGTTTTTAAAAAAAAAAAAAAAAAGGGGAGGGAGAGGATCGTGGCAAAAAAAAAATTAAAAAAATTAAAAATTAAATGAAAAAGGGCAAAAAAATTAAAAACATAAAGGAAATAAGTGGGGGGGAACCCCCAAATCCAGGTTCTGGATGATCCTGGGATGGGTGTTAGGGGGGATTTTTTGCCACAATCCTGCTAGAAGCAAATATTTAAAGAACATTTTAATATATATTCATATATATATTTAAAGATAAGAAAAATAAGACTAATTCAAGCCTTGCCCTGTGCAAACAAAATTAAAACGAGACCATGTTGGTCACGAGGGTCCCGGGTTGGCCACCGCAGTGAGCTTGTTAATTTTATTTTTTGGGCGTTTTTTGGGGGGGATAGGGAAAGGTAGAAATTGGGAGAAAAAAAGGAAAAAAAAAAAAAAGCCAAAAAATAAAATTAACAGAGCCTGCCCTGCTGGAGGGGAGAAAACATGGCAGAGAAAAACCAAAGTCTGTTAGTCAAGTAATGCGTGAAGAGGAGCTTTTAAATTATTCTCTTTTTCTCGTTTTTGTTTTTTTTTTTTTTTTTTAAGTTCAAAAGTTTGAATTTTGGAGTTGAGATTTCCCCCCCCCAAAAAAAAAAAAAAAAAAGGAAATAAAAGCGTGAAGGTGCCCCTGGCGCCGCCTCCCGGGAGGGAAGGGACAACGGGGACAGGGCGATCTCATCCCGAGATGGCCTCAGGATGACAGGGACGTGTCCTTCTGTGTCTGCTGTGCTTGTGAACGCTGCAGGACCTTCTGGCTTTCCACGTCCCGGAAATGTTTCTCCACCTGCATTGGGAAGGGCAGGATGGGGGGGGAAGAAAGAGATGTGTTTAGGGGAAAAAAAAAAAGGTGGGGATGGGATATGGGGTGGGAAGGGGCTGGAATCTACCCAGGGATGGGCCACAGGTGTCCCCAGGGATGTGACACCCTCCCAGTATAACCAGTGTCTCCAGTTCCCGCAGTCCCTATTCACTATTTAATGTATTTAAAAAAAGGGTGGGAAGGGGATCTGGGACAGGAAGGGGATCCCTAGGGTGGGAAGAGATACCCAAGAGAGGCTGGAGATCACCAGGAAGGACTAGAGACCAAACAAGGAGGAATACTGGCTGTCCCCAGGGATGTGACACCCTGCCAGTATTCCCAGTATCCCCAGTCCCTACTCATTCTTGTGTATGTGACTCAGAAAAGGGTGGGAAGGGGATTCAGGGTGGGAAGGAGATCCACAAGAGGGGCTCCATGAGGAGCTGGAACCAACCCAGGGATGGGCTACAGGGGCCCCCAGGGATGTGACACCCTCCCAGTGTCCCCAGTCCCCCCAACCCGTACTCACTATTTTGTGATGTGACTCAAAAAATGATGGGAAGGGGATTTGGAGCGGGAAGGCGATACCCAGGAGGGGTTGGAGCCCACCCAGGGATGGACCACAAGTGTCCCCAGGGCTGTGACACCCTCCCAGTATTCCCAGTCCCCCCCATACTCACTATTTTCCGTACGTGACTCAGGGCACTTCCCTCTTTGCCTTTACAGTTTTCCACCTGGTATGGAGGAGCAATAACGACTTCTTCCATCACAACTATGTTCTTCTCCTGCCATTTACAGTCTTTAATGCTGCAGGGGAGGGAAAAATGGGATCAGGGAATGCTGCCTGACCTGGGAAAGCCATCATCTGCCCCGCAGTGTCTCACTGAGGGGGAGCAAAAAGCCCCTCGGTCGCTCCGGGGTATCCAACTAGAGAGGGGTGGGAGTCAAGGGGATGGGATGTGTCAGGAAGGGGCAGGGAGCAGGAAGGGAGCCATCCTCCCTCCCTGAGGATTCCATGGCTCCATCCAGCACATCCCAGGACACACATCAGCATCATTCCATGGCAAACCTGAGGGACCAAGCAATGGGAATCCCCCCAAAAAAGGGTACGAGTGACCCCAAAACAGAGCGTGGGAAGGACTAGTGATCCCGAGGGAAGGGACTTACGTCTTATGGATAGTCTGGAAGAGCTGCTGCCCCTCCAGGGAGACACCAGCACTAATTGCATATGCCTGGCTCATCTTCTCCTCCTTCTCCGTCCGTGCTTTGTTGGCAAGCTGGGAGAACACAGGGAGAGGGAATTTGGCTGGGTGTCACCCCGGAGCTCTGAGGGGACAAAGGGAGCCCCCCCGGCACAGCTCTGCCATTCCCCATTAAATCAGTATAACAACAAACGTGACATCCCCACCCTCCCACCATCCCTTGTCCGCACAATTCCAGCCTTAATTCCTTTTTTGAGGCACTGCCAGCATCCCCCTGATATTTGGGGAATGTAGGTGTCACCTTTTCACATCCCTCTGTCCCTTCCCCTCGGCCTTTTCCAGAATAATTCTGGCATTTTAGATCCAAACCACCTTCACTACTTGGTTTTCTCAGGGGATGGAGATGGGGAAGAGAAGCCTGGAATAACCACTATGTTGGGAGTAAATGCTCCACACAGGATGATGGGAACTTTATCCCAGAGCAGTTACTCTGTTCCCAAAATAAGGGCAGAATTGGTTATCTGGGAGTTGCATCCATGTGTGGGGAAGTGTGATTCCATACAGGGTCCTGGAATAAAGAAAGGAAAGCCCAATCTTGGCATCTCATGGATGTGGGAGGAGAAGGACACAGTGCATGGAGGCAGGAGCCCTGGACCAGTCGCCTTTTCCTGGGCCTTTTCCCGGCTGGAGCTGCCACAATAGAAGAGCTACATTAGCATTGTCCCTCCTCTTCCTCCTCCTGGAACCTCCTCGCTTCCCAAGCCGGACTGGCTTCCTGTGTGAGGGGGGTTCCACCCCTTCCAAAGCCCCTCTGGATACAGAAAGCCTGAGCTCCCACTGACTGGGGACACTTTTGTGCTCTCAAGGGACAAGTGTCCCTGTCCAAGCCATCCCACATCTTCTCTCCATGTCCAGGGAAGCACAAGTCACTGAAGGAGCACTGGGGTGCTCCCCACGTGCTTCCCAGCCTTCCATGGAGCAAGGAAAACCTCAGGAGGGAAGGGATCCTTCCTCACCCCCAGCACGAGCAGTCCTCAAAGCCTCCCACCCCATTCCATGTGGGAATTGCTCATTCCAAGACCACCAGTCAGGCTTCCAAACTGACCACAACATTCCACAGGAATTTTCCTGCACCCCACATCATCCCCAGCTGTCTGTGGGGATGCCACAACCCCTTGTCCATCTGGGGGGGATGCCCCAAGGCTGGAGAACTGGGATCACCCCCAGCTCCATCCCCCCATCAAGCTGGGATGGGCTGGAATTGTGGCCCTGAGCACTGGGAATCACCTCTGCCATGCCCAGCTCAGCTCCCCGGAGCAGATACCTTTCCCAGATAGATCCCCTTCCCAGAGAGATCCTCTTCCCAGCCAGTAGCTCCCCTTCCCATCCAGCAGATCACTCTTCCCCAGCCTGAGATTTAGATTCACTTTATCCAAAGCCTCTCTCTTTCCCAGGCCTTGGGATGCTCTTCTAGCAGCTGCTGCATCCAGATTTGGGATTTGAGAACAGCCCTGGTAAGAGGCCACCGGGAGAAGACTGGAAACCCCAGAGAGGTGAGGATGAAGAGCTGCCAGCCTGGGCAGCATCCCAGCATTTCCATCAGGATCCATCCCTGTGCTCCTCATCCCCCTGCAATAGGATGTGCTCTCCCTACCCATCCATGTTTCCCAACAAAAAACGGATCAGAACCACCAAGCTCTCCAGCCTTCTGGATTCAAGCATTCCAAGGAATCCCAGTATTCCCCCTGCAGGGAGCATCCTCGGGGCTGCTGGAAAAGCTGGGATAGGGACACACACCTTGTGTGAGGCAGAATGAATGGATGAGTCACTTCCCTGCTCCCTCTGGATGAATGACTGGAATACGCAGCAGGAGGCACAAGGAGAGGGTGAGGGCCACCAAGGGCCATTCCAGGGCCTCCCAAAGCTAGGATGGCCCCTCATCCCGCTCAGGTGCCAAGCACAGCTTGGGGGATCACCTCCCACCACAGCCCCCCATCCCTTTCCAACAGGGGCTCCAGATCCTGCTGTTTTCCAAGCCTTTGCTCCCAACACTCTCTCTCCACTGAGAACCAGGCGAGGTTCTCTGGAGCTCTGCTTCCTCTCCAGGGCCTTCCAGAGGAGCACCTGGAGCATCACAACTCCCACTGTGCAACACACAAAACACCACCATCTAGACCCCCAAACACCAAAATCCAGACTCCAAATTCTGAAATCTTCTCCCAGTACAATCAGAATCAGCCATCCATACTCCAGTCCTGCAGCAATACCAGATGCTTGTGCATCCACGGGGAAGGAAATGTGGGGTCAGAGCCTCCCAGAACCCCCCTCCTGCCACTGGATTGGGAACATGGCCACTCCAGTGGCTGCAACACGACCATCCATTACTTCCCCACAATGATGTGGATGCTGGAAAAGATCAGTGTTGGAATTCCTGAGGGGTTTCCCCTTGGGCTGCGCTCCCAGTGATGTCACTGGATGCAGTGACAGCCAACAGTCACGTCTTGATAACAGCTGTGTCACCCGAGACCTCCGATGTGTTAATCCATCGGGAAGGGATGGACACCTGGCTGGTGCCACCTGTGTGACACCAACCACTGGGAGAGGTGTCCCTGTGGGATGAGGAGGTGACAGCTGAGCCCCCCCCACAGCCAGGCCCCACACCTAGACTCATCCCAGCACCGAGGGCTTGGGGTCACCTTCCCTTTCTTTGACAGCATTGCTTGGAATCAGCAGCAATCCCATTCCAGGGATTCCTCAAAATCCAGGTGTGCTTTGTCCCTCCTGTCTGCTGTGACACCACCCAGCTTTATCCAGGCCCCAAACACCATCACTTAGAGCCAAACTGCTAGAATCCAGGCCCAAAAATACCAGAATATCCAGGCCCCAGAATACTGTCATCTTGACCCCAAATGCCAAAATCAAGGCCCCAGAATGCCATCACCTTAGACACAAAATACCAAAATCCAGGCCCCAAACCCCAGGTCCCAAAGCACCAAAAATCCAGACCCAAAATGTCCAAAATCTAGATACAAGCCACCCAAAATCCAGAGCCCCAAAATACCAAAATCCAGGTCCCAAAGTGTCAAAACCCAGGCCCCAAAACACCACAACTTCAGACCCAAAATGCGCAAAATCTAGATATAAACCACCCAAAATCCAGGCCCCAAAACCACCCAAAATCCAGATCCAAAATGCCCAAAATCCAGGCCCCAAAACTATCAAAATTCAGGCCCGAAACCCACCAAAATCCAGAGCTTGAATCCACCAAAATCCAGAGCCTGAATCCACCAAAATCCAGAGCCTGAATCCACCAAAATCCAGATCCAAAATACACCAAATCCAGGGCCCAAAATGGCTAAAATCCAAATCCAAAATGCCCAAAAGCCAGGGTCTAAACTGCCAAAATCCATGGCCAATTGCCCCAAAATCCAGACCCTAAGCCCACCAAAATCCAGGCCCCAAACCCACCAAAATCCAAGCCCCAAACCTGACAAAATCCAGGCCCTAAACCCGACAAAATCCAGGCCCTAAACCCG